CAACTCCTGGGCTCAAGCAAGTCTCCTGCCTCAGCCTCCCAAGTAGCTGGGACCACAGGCGCCCGCCACAACACCCGGCTATTTTTTTTTTTGTTTGCAGTCATTATTGTTGTTTGGCAGCCCGAGCTGGATTCGAACCCACCACCTTAGGTGTATGTGGCTGGCGCCTTAGCCGCTTGAGCCACAGGCGCCGAGCCATAGCATCACTTCTTCAATGAACCTCACTGAAGGGCCTGAAAGCTCCTCCTTAAACAAGTGCTGCTTTTGCATCTTTTGGACTCAAATGAAGACCCTGGGAAGGAGGAGGCTGCAATACCAATGCCACAGGGTCTGTGTGACAATTCAATGAGATGGTGGATAAAATAGCCGGTGCCTGTGGTCCCAGCTACTCGGGAGGCTGAGGCAAGAGAATCGCTTATGCCCAAGAGTTTGAGGTTGCTGTGAGCTGTGACGCCACAGCACTCTACCAAGGATGACAAAGTGAGACTCTGTCTCAAAAAAAAAAAAAAAGCTTAGTATAGGGCTTGACGTGGCATGAGCACTCAGGACATGGAACATTTGTTGATATTATTATTATTATTGTTAGCCAAAGCAAAGGAGTGGTGTGTCTCCAGTTTACTTCTGAGGGCCAGGCCCACATGCTCCAAAACAGTGAGGCTGCAGCTCCCTTCTCCCAGTTTGTGGCCTGGGGGCAGGGTAGCCTGTGACCCCTGGGTTGGACAGGAGAATTGGGCGACTACAGACCAGAGGACAGAAGAGGCTCATTCTCTGGGACGAATTTGACGCTCTTGCTCCTGGGCAAAACCAGGGCAAAGTATTCGAGATGAATTTATTGGGTGGAAAAAGTTATTTTAAAATATTCCAAATAAGTCCTCACTGAAACGTTGCCACATGGCAGGCTCTTTATATTTTAGCCAAAGTACCTGAAGCTGTGTGCTGACCAAGGTGCAACCAGACTCAGTCTGGGGACTTTCTAGGGTTAAGTATTCTAATGCCTTGTGGCCCACCTCAGCTATCCCTGAGAGTCAAGAGCTGTGCTGAACAGAGTCACCGAGGCGCTTGACTCTGAGGGTGTATACTTCATTTTTTCCAAATATTCTCTTTGCAAGATAACCCAACATGAATGTATCAGGCTGCGCCAAGCACCAGCTGGGCTAGACCTCTGGAAGTTCGGCCGGGAATGCTGATGACATGGCAAGAATCTCAGCGGCAAAGATTTATTTTCCAAAGTTGCTGGCATTTTTTTAATCCCTACTTTTCACCCTCCTTCTTGTCTTTAACAGGGCAGAGCAAACAACCTTCAGGCCAACTGGCAATGCTTTGTGTTTTCTTCACAGCGATTTGTTCATGAAACCATGATATTTTTTACATGTCCGTTATTAGCGAACAGACACGGCTGTCGGTGCTTATCTGCTGTTCTCAGCACTCAGCCAGCACGCAGAGATGTTCCCCTAGGGGAGGGGTAGAGAGACAAGGCCACCTTCCTCACCTCACCGTGGGCACTGGCTGCAGAGCCCCATTCCTGGCGGCCTACCCTGCCTGGTCCTGTGCCCCACTCTCTTGGGGAGCCCTACCTTACAGAGAACCCCCAAGGGGCGCCTACAGTGCCCTCGGGCTGACCAGTTTACTGTAGCTGGGACCTCCTTCCCCCAACTTCTTCATCCCAGGTCTCAGCCTCTCTAAGGCCAGACCAGGGCCACCAAGGATGACATCTTGCTGTCATTTATAGGAGGAAGGAGGCTTCCACAGGCCCTGCCTCTGTTCTTGGGTCATGCCTGCACTTGAACAGTTGAGTTCACTGATGTATTTAGCAAATTACTCGGCAGAGGATAAGCAGGCAGTAAATGGGATCTTTGTTGATAGTATTATTATCTGGAGGGAACTGAAACAATTATATGTCAGTTGTAAGCCAAGCACAGTGCTAGGTGCTGGCTTGAAAGATGAATAACACATGTCCCTGCCTCTGGCTGGCTCCTGGCCACTGGCAGTGATGGACAGTAGATCGCATAGGTTATGACAGTCAAAGCAAGAATATGTGCTTCATGCCCCAGGAGCACGGGTGGAGGATGGGCAACTC